CGTCTTGAAGCTTGGTCGATCTCGAGAGATCGAATTGTTGATGACGATGGTTCCGATATTGTCGGAAGACATACTCCGGTCGTGTTAGATCTCCACAGCCGAAGTCGTCGAGTAGCTTGTTGTCGGAGAATCCATCTCTTAAACCCATCTCGTCGAAACCTTGAAGCACCAAAATGCCCCTACGTGGCGCGTTACTGTCGACGTTTGATGTCTCGACTACGGTATTTGCATGGCATGGGGATCGTTGGTACTAGGGTATACGCGAGACTGAGGTAAAAGAGATGGAGACAGGGATTTTTATACAGGTTCGGGCCCCTGAATTATCAGGTAATAACCCTACATTCTGTTGGCCGAAGCCGGTATTGCTCTTATTCATGATAATCACATCAGTATAATATTTGGGGTAGCCTATCTAACTGTCGTCGACTTGGCGGTCTGAAGTTCTGACTCGTAGTCGACAACAGGGTAGCCTTCCTCCTCGAATCCGTGCCCGGCGAAATCAGAGATAGCGCTTTTGTCTCTCCTAACAGTATCCGGAGACACCGTAGGGTACTAGCCATGCTTATCCCTGAAGTCGATATCCGGCGGCGTGTCTTGGCGTATGTAGACTTCTATGTTGTGGCTTCTATGTCGATTGTGTTGGGTGTTGATCCTATCCCCTCTCCTCCTAGGGGGCTTGTATTTATACCCATAGGTGTCCCCTTGTCCAAGTAGAACTAGTGAAACTAATATGGATACAATCCGAGTAGTCATTGTCATTTCCATGTAGAACTCTGGTTGTCTATCCTTATCCGGAACTCCTCCTATATCCGAAGGTTGCTTCCGTATAGGACATGGTATGTAGTGGGTCCTGTCGAGATTTAATCAACTACTATTAGGTATGTGGTATCCATAACCCTGACAATGTGTAATACTCAAGTGTGTCTACTGAGGAAGCGGAACATATCGGATTTTCTTTCAGCAGTGGAATACATTCTGATAGTACTCTCTCCAGTCATAAGGTTTTTGACATTTAGTCATTTACAATAGCTTTTACTCAAACTTTTACAATCAATAACTTCGTATAGTTTTAAACTAACTAGAAAAAATATCCATACGTTGCAACGGGTAAAAACGTATTTTCACTGATATATTAAGAGCTAAGCAATAAATTGAAATATTAGGATCGCTATATACATTATAATTGAAAAAGTTAATGAGAATCCTAACATTGGGATCACTAACATTGGGATCACTATAGATTATAATTAAAAAAGTTAATGAAAATATTTCCTGGGTTTAGGGTCAATAGCCTTCCTTTATTTTTAGCCCTAGGCAAGTCCGCTACCTCATTCTGTTTGTTTGGCCTGCTTCCCTTCGACCCAACCATAAGTGGAGTCGAAGCGCAGCTCAAAGTCTACTACCATATTCGGCCAGTACGCTACCTCCCTCCGTTTGGCCTGTTTCCCTTCGACCCAGCCACAAGTGGAGCCGTAAACTCAACTCGCACAGTCTACTACTATCTTTGGCCAGTCCGTTACTTCCCTCCGTTTGGCCTACTTCCCTTCGACCCAGCCACAAGTGGAGCCGTAAGCGCAGCTCGCACAGTCTACTACCATTGTCAATCTCCCGAAGATAGTCCCGTGGCCGTACGGTTGCCGGAGCAAATCTCTCCCCATCAAATCTGGTCGAATCTTTCCCGATCACATTTTGGTTGAGGGTTTTTAATTCACTCGATCTTCTCTTTCCGTTTTTTCCAAAATCAGTGTAAAACTCTCCCCCATCAAATCTGACCGATTCTTTCTCGATCAACCAAAATTAGTTCAGGGTTTTTGATCCACTCGATCTCCTCTTTCCGTTTTTTTTCCAAAATTAGAGTGTAAAACTTGGCATAAAAACGTCCGGGGAAGATCACCGTCATCATCGGCAATTGTTAAATGGAGATTAAATCCGATGAATTAAGACCGAATCGAAAGGGAAAATAATGGAGAAAATGATGGCGGAGGAGTGGGGAATCGATTTTTGCAATCAAATTGGAGGAGAAATGTACAATCGATATGGCGGCGGCGCAGCACGGCGCTAGGGTTCAAACTCGGGAGGCGTGCGGTGAACAGATCGTGTTAAAAAACCAGATGAAAAAAAACCAAAAACACACGGGAGAAAAAACCGGCGTCCGAAAAACCAAGCGCCGGGAGGCGCCAATAGATTAAAAAACGGACGAAAAAACCAAGCGCATGTGAAAAAAACTCCTTCGCGTGCAAAAAAAAAAAAGGGAAAAAATGCCTGTGCCAAATAACCAAATGGACTTTTTTTTTTCCAAACGGACTTATTAAAAAAAGGTTTTTTTTCGATCAGATGTTTTTTCTTTATATTTTACCGAGACAGAAGCTCTTTTTATCGCTTTTGAATCGGACTTTTTTTTTACCTCATTGAGTTCGACTTTTTTTTCCTCTTTTAACAGACAATTGAAATTTAAGTAGTATAGATAACATAAAATTAAAAAATCAACTCAAACACGAATGACGTATCAAAGTACCGGCAAAAAAACATCTTTAATTTTTATAATAGTAGAGATATAAATCGTACGCATGTATCTTTTGTCTTGAAAAGTATAATTATTATTATGTCATTAACTTACTGAATTTATATAATACAAAATTAACCAAAGTTTCAAAACATGGATATATTATAATATGTGGAATACATTTTTTTCTATTTTACGTAAATAAAAGAAAATAAAAATAATATGTGCCCTATTTTCCGTTCATCATCTTTTCCCCTTGTTCCCTCCGTTTTCTACGGAAGTGAAACGTGGCGCCATATCCTGCGGTGCCTTCTCCGCTGTTGCGTGTGGAACGGCTCGGACGGGATCCCCATTCCTACACGAATGGCGTTATCGTCATTACGATAAAAACGGAGGGGTGATCGGGAAACCCTCTGGGCCTCTCCACGTCGTCGCCGTTACTTCGAGGCGGTTTCCCTTTTTTGTCAGCGTCCAAAAAATGAGAAGCCCGCGCTCTTCGCCTTTTGCAGTAACGCCCCCCGTCTTATACAAGATTTTCACTATGAACCGTGAGAAAAGTCAAAACCCCAGTCCCCCGTTCGGAGAAAAGACTCAATGAATCCGTTACTTTTTTAAAAAATACGACAAGTGTCAGTCATTTGTGTATCAGACTTTTTGTGAAATAAAATTATGCCGCACCATGTTTTCTATGTGTTTATTAGTTACTTAAAAAAATGCTCGTGTGTTGCAACTGGTGAAATTTATTTTAATCTTATTATTATTATATGGTTTAATTAAAATGAAATTTACCGTCGGAGTTTGCTTGGATATATATATTTTTAGAAAATCATGAGCTACAGTTAGGAGCCCGATCGTTTCAAGTTAGTATGCGAGTTTTTTTAAACAGATTTCTTATATGATTCCTTCTGTATTATCAAAAGTGAACAATATTAAAAACCAATTCAAATGCGAATATGTATTTCCAAAAGCAAACGAACTTAAAAACCGACTCATACATGGATGACGTACCAAAATACCGGTAAAAATATATTCAATTTTTATAATAATAGAGATAGAGATAGGTTGCTCTTAATGAATTTTACTGATTCGGTAAGTGTTTTTTACATAAAACATGGTTATAAATTTAATAGACTTTAACTTTTTTTTTTTTGAAAAGAGACTTTTTAACATTTAGTTTACTTTAGATTCTTTTATTGGGTCTCTTTCTCTTTTAACTCTAGTAACTCCTTCAGTATAGAGGACATGGTAGCGTCTAGAATTGTTCATAGATTGGGCCAAAAAATGCTTAATTTGTATAGTATAAACAAATTAGCCCAAACCATTCTTTTCACTTTCGTTGTTTTGGGCTCAACAAAACCCGTTTAACATGTCTTGTTATTCACAACATCCCATGACGCGGTTGCATTCCCTCAACGTCATGCCTCAATGAGTCCCAACGTTATTATCCCATAGCAACTATTTCCCCGCGCTTGACGAGACCTCAACGTTTGCGGCATCGCGCTCGATGAGTCCAATCGATGATTCTATTCCTGCGCTGATGAGGGCTATACCTCTAAGAGTGATGTCCCTATACATTCAGGCTGTGTTTAGATCCAAAGTTTGGATCCAAACTTCAGTCCTTTTCTATCACATCAACCTGTCATACACATAACTTTTCAGTCACATCATCTCTAATTTCAACCAAAATCCAAACTTTGCGCTTAACTAAACACAAACTTTACGCTTAACTAAACACAGCCTCAACAACCTGCATGCCTATGTTCACGTGGCTCGATCTGATGGAACTTCCCACACATATAGTGATCCCCGAATGCATGACGACTATTCCTATCCCCTGCCATGGCCTTTTGCTACTTCTATGCTCTATTCCTTTCTCGTGTACAAATGAAGGAGCATGTACATGATTTAACTGATGCGGTATATATACATGACAGAACTGGTTATTCATGAGGCGGAAGTATTATGTGTTATGGTTAGGTTCAGTTGAGGGTGGTTCTTGCATTAAAGCAATAAATGGACACAACATGTTAGATACAAATCTGATGACCGTTCAAAATTCTACAGACTCGTAGATATAAACATGTCACCTATACCGTGTAAATGGTTCCTAAAAATTTATCTTATCCGTTTCATAATATAAGACTTTCTAGCATTACCCACAATCATCTATCATCTATAATGTTACGTCATAGATGAATATGGATAATACTAAAAAGTCATATATTATAGAACGGAGGGAGTACTTGTTTTCATCCATATCGACAACATATTCTGGTAGCTTCCATTCCATGTTATCGAAATTTTCCGGGCAAAACATATTCCCCTATTTTTAGCCTCCAAGAACAAAATGGTCACAACTTGTAAATAAACAAAAGAGCAAGCCCCACTCCGCAAAACACACCTCTCCTCTCCTTCCCTCATATTTTAACCATTCCACCCCTCACAAATCTCACTATTTACTTACCTTTACTCCGCCGAATAAAACCAACCAACCCACCCTCCTCCTCCCTCGCCCGCCTCTTATTTTTTCTTTTCTCTCCCCCAAATCTGATCCCCTCCCACACGCAACACGCGAGGCCGCGTCTAGGGTTAGGGTTCCCCTCCCCTTCGGCCATGGACGAGCTCGCGGCGGCGTCGGCGGCGGCGAGGAGGAGGTGGGTGCAGTGGGAGGAGGTCGTGGTGTCGAACGACCGGGGGAGGCGCCTCGTGCACTACTACCTCCGGGGAGCGGCCGCGGGCGGCGGAGGAGGGGGAGAGGTGAGGGAGCTTGCGGTGGTGGGGCGGGAGCGGAGCCCGCGGCACATGTCGTACGTGGTGCAGGGGCGGTTCCTGCGGTCGCTGGCGGCGGCGGGGGTGGGGGTGGGGGTGGGGGTGGGGGCGGGGGTGGGGGCGGTGGTGGCAGTGCCGTCGCCGTCACGGTCGCCGCTGCCGGCTTCCGCGGAGGGCGGGGCGCCGAGGAAATGGAGGTCGAGGCGGGAGGTCGTGGACTGGCTGTCCTCCCTCGTTTCCGGTAAGATTTGTGTGGTTTTTTTTTTTTACGCCTGGGCGGTCGATTCGGGTGGTGTTGTGCAGGATTTTGTGTTGTTTTGTGTGCGTTTGCGGCTGTTTTGTTCTTTCGCGTGTTGTGGTTTGTTTTTTCTGTGTTATATGGTGGCTGATTTGGGAATCGTTTTTCTGAATGTTACGGGGTCCTATTCCAGACTGCGCGCAGATGCGGTTTGGGCATATGTTTTTCCCTGTTTCTGTTTGGTTCAATTTGTTCAGGGAATAGCGTTTTTTTGGATTTCTATACCAAAAGAGGCTGTGGTTTCTGATTTTCTGACGATTCGACCCGAATTCGCAAATAGCGTTTTGGATTTCTCTACCAAAAGCGGTTTGTGGTTTCTGATTTTCCGACGATTCGACATGAACTTGCAAGATTGTTTGGCCTTTAGATAGGCGGATTGATTTGTTCCCGTGAATCTTTTGTATAACCCATGCGTGTTAATGGAGCGGATCTGATTTCTACCGTATTAGGTCTATCAGGGCAGGAATTCAACTTTGCATCCTTTTGTTCTCTCTGTTGCGAGGAGTTCATTTCTGGATTCGTTGGGTTCAATCTGCTGCGGCGCCCTTCTCACCTGATTCGTGAGGAGGTAGACAGCTTGTTCGTATCTCGTGGTTATAGGAGAAGAGTACAAACGTTTGCGATAACCCATCCGCTTATGGTCGATTGTTGTATATTAGAAACTTGTTGCTTTGAACCCGGATTTAGCTATTGTTCCTTTCTATTGGAGGGGTTTGATTCTGTTTCTATTTGGAGGGGGAAATATGTTCTATTTAGAGGGCAAAGATTGACAATTTTTTTCCTCCAAAGGCACCTTTTTTACGATATAACCCTCTTATGACCTGCCTATGATTTGATTCGGTTAGACATATCTTATGTCAGTATTGGAACACTTATGCTAGTTCTAGAGTTCTTTTTTTGTCAAAATAACTAATTTATATGAGTTGCCTTGCGGTTTATTCTAGAAAGCTAACAGGATTTTATCATAATAAGATGTATAATTCAGTCTTATATTGGTAACCTGTAAATCTCATGCCTTCTCCTTTTCCATAGGATTATGGAGAATACATGTGTGACCCAGTGGAAGCCGCTGCAGGTTTCCCTTTTTGGGTCGATTGTGTAAGCATGCGTTCGGAAATATAGAGAAAATGAAGCGGCAGCGTGAGTTGAAAGGCAATCAGGTGCCATTTTGTTCTTCCCTTCTTGTGGCCTCCCACGAGACACCCATGGAATTAATCCGTGTAAATTGAATGCTTCCGTAATCTGCCCAACAATGGTCAGGAAATCCTCCAATTAGTTCTGTCGATGAGCTTTTGTAGGAACTCTTACGGTGTGCTGACGCATCAACTTGTCAATGCTTCTGTTTAAATATGAAACGGCCTTACAAATTAGAAGTCACCTCCAACTCTGTTTGCTTCCAACTGCTCTTGGTTTTAACCTTGGTGGTGTGCGGCTGTGCGTTTCATCTTCGATTTTTTTTTGTGTTGTTTTCTTCTTGTGTTGCCTTTATTTTTTCTGAATCACAAGTGTGCTACTATGTTTTAAACCAATGTTTTGATGATACTCCTGTTGCACTGTCTTGTATGGTAAATTTCTTATGTCTAGTGCTTCTTTTGCAGGATGTAATTACGGATCTTCTTCAATGTCTAATAGGTTCAATGAAAATCCATATGATGACATTGAGTTCACTGATGTTGCTGCTTCAAAGGTATAGAGCTATTTCAAGATAACTTGCCCTTCATCCTTCTAGTATGTCCAGGATATATTTCTGAATTTCCCCCCATTGCTAATTCATTCCATTTTTGTGTGCTTAGGATGTTTCACATACATCATCAGTAAGGAATAACTCAAAAGAGTTCACATGGTTAGGTCCTGCATGGCTTTGCGAAAAGCGATGGAAGCACTACAGATCTTTCTGCCGTAAGGGGATTACTATTTCGGTATGTTACCCACTGATCATTTTCCTGTATTTTGTGTTGTCACCATGTGTACCACTGAGATTTTATCAAAGAAATGAGGACAACATGCTGAGATGAAGTATTGCAGAACAATAAACTATGTAGGGTTCTAAATGAAACTGCATTATGAAAACCTGGAGGAGTTTTAGGGGAAAAAGCTATGACATTCTGTTATTGCCCTCCTGTTTGGTTTTATACGTTGTATTTATTAGTACTACTGCACAGTGATATGGGAGTATTTCAAACTATTCAAAATAGAAGTTTAAATGCTAATACTTGTTATTACTCTGAACCTTTGAAAGGGAAACCTTGGTTGACACATGTTTATGCTATCTTTGTAGGTGCATAATTTTGTCTACATCCTGAGTGAGGAAAAGAAGAGGCTCATCGCCCAAGTGGAGGATCTGTATGAAGATACTAATTCAACCAACGTTGTCATGGTACGATGGTTCGACAAAGTTGATGAGGTTGGTGTCGAATTGCCACCTGATGTTGGTGACAGAGAGATTTTCTTTTCCCCTGGTCTGCAAGATCTCAGTGTTGAATGCATTGATGGATTGGCTGCAGTCCTGAGTGCTCAACACTTCGAGAAGTTCCAGAGTAGTCCAAAACATAGCTATTGGCAGCCTTATATTTGTCGCCGACAGATTGATGAAGATGGCGTCAAACCTTTTGATGTAACCCAATTGCAAGGTTATTGGAGTCAAGAAGTGCTTAGGACAATGTTCAATGCAGCTTCTTCTCTTAAGGTACGTTTCAAGGTCACTAAAGGTGCTTCTAGTTCAGATGGGGCACAAAAGAGGAAGCGTGATGCATTCAGTGAAACCGATCCACAGCAGTGTGTTCCTTCCGCTGCATTCGGTTCTGATAGTCTCAAGAATGATTTGGAACATAAAACTCAAAAGCAGCTATATCCTGGTAGCCGTGCTGAAGTCCTATCACAGGACAGCGGTATAAGGGGCTGCTGGTTTAGATGCTTTGTATTAAAGAGGCGCGGAGACAAAATCAAGGTGCGATATGAAGATCTTCAGGATGCTGATGAGACAGGAAATCTGGAGGTGAGCTTAGTGTAATTCTATATAATCTTTTTTTCCCCACTAAATTGGATCTCAGATCTTACTTGTTACTTAACCTTTGTTTGCAGGAGTGGGTTTTGCTAACAAGGATTGCTAAACCTGATCAGTTGGGTATACGCATCCCTGAAAGACCAATGGTGCGGCCATATCATGTACATAGCAAGGATCCATGCTCTTTCGATGCTGGTTCCATTGTTGATGCATGGTGGAATAGTGGGTGGTGGGAGGGGATTGTATTGCAGCAGGGAAATGACAGACGCCTTCAAGTTTATTTTCCTGGTAATTACATTCTTAATTACCATCAACATTTCAATTTGCCTCTGCATGACATTTTAATAATGTAGTTTGGAGCTACTGAACTTACATTTGCTTTGTTATTTATCACAGGAGAAAAGCAGATTGCTGATTTTTGTGAAGATGATTTGAGGCATTCACGTGAGTGGGCTGGTGGCAAATGGAATTCCTTGGGGGAAAGAAAAGATATCACACACCTGTTGCCCCCCACTTCAGTTCATGAAGAGGGAGGTTTGCTTAGCAAACCTGTTTCACAAGAAGGCAATCCCTCTTCAAAATTAGAATCTGACAAGAGGTGTGATGACAAATCATTGGGCACCAAGATTTCACATGATCAGAAGCATCAGAAGCGTGTTCTGGCTGATCTCACAAATGCTCTGAAATTCGATAACCTGAAATGGAGGCCAAGAAAGCGGAGCAGAAGATCTGGTTCCAAAAGGCAGTCAGACACTAGCAGTGGCAGTGGCAGCAGCAGCCAGGGCGACATGGAGGAGTCCAGCCCCTGCGGAAGTTTTGCAGTGCTTAATTCAGCGCCCGATGAAGAAGTATGCAAGAGCAGTGGAGAACCTCTTTTCATGAGGGTTTCCAACCTGGTGATGTCCAGATGAAGTCACTCCACGACTGACATGTTTTAGCCTTTTCTTTCCGGATTTCAACAGCCTTGGCGAGATGTGAGTTTGATGCATCCCCAGGTTATTTAGTCACAACTCACAACTGGTATCCTGATCATCTTGAGAGCTCTGAATGCTTATTCGCTCGGATGTCCAGGATGCAAGCATGGAGGAGCACACTGTTGTATTTATGACTGATCTAGATGAGTTTTACCATTTTGTCTCACTTTAGGGTCTTGTAGGGTGTTTTAACCGTCTTGTTGTTTAGTTGGTGTTACAAAGATAGCTGGCTCATTCCACCTCGGCAGTTTCCAGAGTCCCTTTTTTGTCTTTGTTTCAGCAGTCCAATATCCAATTTAATTTGTTCATCAGCTGTTATAGATGTTCTTATAGTATACTCTCTGAAATGATAATATTTACATCGTCATACGAGTTTTTTGTTCTTCTGCCTATGTGGTGTTATTTGTGTGAATTTATTGGTCTATAATTGAAATTGAGTGTATTGTCTTCAATTTCTGCTGCGTTTTTGAGCCTTTGAATACTAGATGTGGCGGTAATTGTTGGAAGTCATGTTGGTTGGTGATTATGTTTGTTGTCATGTTTAAAGTGTACCGATCTTACCATTTTCCAACCAGCTGTACCGACTTCACCGGGTCAAAATTGGCGCCTTAGCGAGCTACTGCTTACATTGCACTTCCGAAATTCTAGTTCCATTCGTGCCTTTTCTGTCTGTTTTTTCAGACAACTTTGCTCTATGGTTTTGCCAGGTCCATGGAACGCACAAACTTTTTCTAGACGACATTACGAAGATAGTAGTATTTGGGACCTGATTCCATCCCCGCGAGGGCATCTCGGCGAAGGCAAAATGTCCATAGGAAAAGGTTTTATCATCACAAGGAAGAAAAGGCCAACGAGAAGCAGCTAAGGAAAGGACCACCATTCGTGCAAGCCAGCCACTGAATCCCAGCCAGCGTCGTTGTGAGGACCAGAATCCGATTCGATTCCGACCTCCAGCAGCGTCCACCATGACACCAACACCCCCCTTCCCTCAAAGCGGCCAGAAAAATACAACGGCGAGCCACCGGCATCAGCTTAGCCCCAGCTGCCGGCCACCACCACCATTTCCCCTTTTGCAGATTCTTCTACCGTTCTCTCTTCTCCGGCGAGCCGGAAGCCGACGACCGGTCGTCGCGCGCCGCCGCCAAGTGGACAGACGGTGTTCATGAGTGGCAAGGTGATTATGGTGAATTGGAAGTGCAGAGGGGGAATGGTGTGGTGTTTTGTTGTGGAGTAACTGAAGCTGTGTTCAGTTTTCTCTGCAGTTCTACTGCATGACCGTCAGGATGAGCATCGACTGCAATGGGTGCTACCAGAGGATCAGGAGGGCACTCCTCCAGATGCAAGGTGAAAAACCGGAAAATCCACCAGAGATTACCACCATAAATATTCCTTTTGGTCTTTGATGATTTGATAATGCTCAGTACAGAACGATAGCAGGGGAACAAAAAAATGGGCATCAGGAACAGCATATTAAGCAGCAAAAAACATCTATCAAGATTCTCTTGTTGATTGTATTTATTTACTAAAACAAGCAGAACTGCTTACCTACACATTCAACATTGGTTACCTGATTGGCTACAATTGATGTCCTTTCGCATCAACAATTTTCCGTGCAAAAAATGTGGATTTCATCTCACATTTTTACCCCCTGTGTATGTATGTATGTATGCAAGAAGATCTGGATAGCCACCTGATCGACCGGAAGCAGCAGCGGGTGAGCGTCTGCGGCGCCTTCGTGCCGCAGGACGTCGCCATCAAGCTCCGCAAGAAGACCAACCGCCGCGTCGAGATACTGGAGATCAAGGAGATCGACGCCGGCGACGGCCACCGGCTGTGAAGTCGCCGGCGTCGCACGAGATGGGACGGCGGCGGCGGCCGTAGGAAAATTCTTTGTAAATAAATCCTGTATATTATAGCGTATATCATTTGTTTTAATCAGAGCCGATAAACTTATTCAGCTAACCCTTTTAACACAAAGCGAGAATGGTACGATTGCGAATCATGAGGAAAGTAGAGAATGGCCAGCTGCATGCCTGCATCAGTATCTAAGCTTTGAGATGAAGCATTCATCCTCCCAAAGCATCCAGGTGAGGAAGGCAAGCTCTGCAAGCGTAGGAACATGGCCAATTCTGCTTGGAGTGCAGCTTCAGGAAGGGCCTAAGTAGCCCCAACCATATGCACAGAGGTGGTCCAAAGATATGCACTCTCCCATACCCTAACAACATAACAGAAACTGAACTAGCTCTACAGATTCGGTACCGACGATGATCTCGTCGCAATTGCGATCACATGACTGACGATACTGCGAAAATGACACAAAACAATAGCAGAAAGCGATTGCGAAATCGCCTCGAGAACTATCATATCGCCATAACACGGTCTTTCACTACAACAGATTGGTAACATCGAGTACCAGACAGATTGATTGCTGGTGAGTGAGATAAATGTGCAAAGAAGAGCTTTGCATGGTGGTGTAGATCATCAAGAACTTGAGTAGCTTCTACCTCCATCCAATCCACCAACAATTGTCAGAATTGCTGGTCAGTCAGGGTTTCCTTGGAGTGCCATTAAAGTCCGCAGAGGTGGATGGAGAGGAGAGAAACTAAACCTGCTGATGGCTTACGGCCAAGACAGCAAATGTGGCCGCACAACACCCCCACCATTTTTATGAGCTTGAACAACCGTCCTGGCTCCTCCTTTTGTCACACCCAGTGAGGGTTCTGCAAGTGCTTCTTCTCCTTTTGGCTGAGATTGAGCAAACATGGGCATGGCGATGAGGTGCGTCTTGGTCCTCTTCTCCGTCTCCCCCGTGCTGCTCCTGTTCAACTTCGAGATGCTGGAGGTTGCTCTCCATCTAGCGAGCCGCGAAAAGGAGCTCGACACCGCTGCGGTAACCCCTTCTGCCAGTTTGAGCTTCCTCTCGAGGTTTAGGATAATGCTGGGGATGAACCATCATCGGTCGCGGGGCCGAAGGCATAAGAGATATTCAGAAGCTCCAGCTCCAGCTCCAGCACCAGTCCCAGCCCATCAAGCAAGATCAGAAGCTCCTGCCCCTCTTGTTCATGTGCCTCGAAAAGGAATGCCGTCGACTCATCGCAGCCACATTGCCCCAGCTAGAAGCCCGGTGCACAAAGTGAAAGATGGTGGTCACACCAAGATCCCGAGATCCGCCATTGTTGCTCTGGGTGTGGTTGGATTATGCCTAGTTGTTCTTGGAGTTGTCATAGCAGCATTCTCAGTCAGAAGATCAAGGAAGTTCAAGAAGGTGTGTACAAAGGCATTCAAACCATTTCGTCATGGATCAAGAGATCAAAGGTCACCTGCTGCTACCAGGAAGGTCAGTTCCCACCCTAGCCCAGATCCACTTACACTAAGTTCCATAGTACAGTACCAACAGAACCTTCCAAACCTTAAACAATCATCTGAATCAAAGAGTCTATCCATTCAGAGCACTATTCCGATGGGTACAGAACTAATAGTAAGTGATCATGCTGTGATAAACAACTCACAATCTGATGAGGTTGAATCTTTCCATTCCATACCTTGCTCTGATTTATCAGCTGGCTCCATTACAGAGTTACCTCAGCAAATTTGTGATAGAAGAGCTATTATGAACCGATCTGAGTATTTCCTACAAACACATGATTCACCATCTGATTCATCATATCAATCCCTTTCACCAGATTGTACATCTCGTTTGTCTCCAAAGGATCAAACTTTCACTGCTTCCAGTCACCTCAGTTTGCGTAGCAAAACTTGTCCAGAAAAATCAGATGGTGAAAATGCTGAAATAAACTGTCATGATGGATTGGAAATAACTTGCATTTCTGGGTCCATGGAACATCAAGAAGCCCCTATCGAAGAGCGGGCCAGAATCAATTTCAGGAACCCACCATCACAACACATCTTCCCTCCCTCCTATCGTACAGATACCTCACAATCCAAAATCAACATAGCATTTACTATGACTAACTCAAAGGTTGAATCAAGTTCTAAGGAATCATCAAGGATTGAGACCTCCAGTTCAATGGGTATACCAAAACCGGCACCGCCTCCTCCACCGCAAAAGAACCCTCCTCCAAATCTGAAAGGGCAATGCTATGGCCAGCCTCCACCACCACCTCCATTGCCACTTCAGATACAGGTTGGTAAAGATGGGTCTCCCCTACCAAGGTTGAAACCATTGCACTGGGACAAAGTAAGGGCTGCTCCAAACCGCTCTATGGTGTGGAATGATATAAGATCAAGTTCATTTGAGTTCGAGTAAGGCTATCCCCCCTCATAATTGTGTTCATCACATTTCCTATTCTTATTATGTTTTACAATAAAGCTATGCTATGCAGATTTGATGAGCAGATGATCAAGTCTTTGTTCGCATACAACCTTCAAGGGTCAATGAAAGATGAGGAGGCTATGAACAAAACCGCATCTACCACCAAACACGTCATTGAGCACCATAGGCTTCAAAATACTACTATCTTGTTGAAGACATTAAATGCAAACACCAGTCAAGTTTGCAATTCTGTAATACAAGGTAGGTTTCATGATGTTTTAAGTAATTATAAGTTATGATTATCAAGTTAACAATAATAACAATCAACTTATCCTCATGTCTCGGCTGACTCAGGTAATGGATTATCTGTGCAACAACTTGAAGCGCTTGTCAAGATGAAACCGACCAAAGAAGAGGAGGAAAAGTTACTAAATTATGATGGCGATATTAACATGCTAGATCCAGCAGAAAACTTTGTGAAGGTGCTACTAACAATACCAATGGCATTCCCAAGGATGGAGGTCATGCTCTACAAGGAAAATTTTGATGACGAGGTAGCTCACATCAAAATGTCCTTTGCAATGATCGAAGTAAGTGGAGTCATTTTGCATGACTTGTTTAGGACATATTCTGTTGTGCTTATATATATTGTTTTATTTAATAGGGAGCTTGCACTGAATTGAAGTCAAGCAAACTATTCTTAAGATTACTTGAAGCAGTACTCAAGACAGGAAACAGGATGAATGTCGGAACATTAAGAGGAGGTGCAAGTGCTTTCAAACTGGATGCGCTTCTGAAATTGGCAGATATACGTGGGACAGATGGGAAGACAACCCTACTGCACTTTGTTGTAAAAGAGATGGCTCGTTCAAAAGGATTAAAGGCTTTAGAAAAGCTCAATGAAACACCCAGCTCTTGTCATGACACACCAACTGAACGAGAGGAGTATTCATCAATGGGTACAGAATTTGTCTCTGAGCTAAGTAATGAACTAGGCAACGTCAAGAAGGTAGCAAGCATAGATCTGGATACCTTGCGAAACTCAATATCAAATCTATCCTGTGGGCTGGCTCAACTGAGAAATCTTGTTGAGAAGGACCTAGCCAGTGATGACAAGAACAATAACTTCTTGCAATGCATGAAATCCTTCCTAAATCATGCAGAGAATACTATGCAGGGGCTCAAAGCTGATGAAGCTCAAGTCCTACTCAATGTCAGGGAACTAACGGAGTACTATCATGGAGAGGTCAGCAAGGATGAGTCCAATCTGCTCCAAATATTCATCATCGTGAAAGATTTTCTTGGTTTGCTGGATAAGGTGTGCCGAGAAATGAGGGGCACAAAGCATAACCAAACTCTCAATTTAGTCCTTCCACTCAAGTGAATAGGTATAGATTAACCAACTGGCCACTAACAAATTGATTGTTTTGCATGTGAATGTTTGTATAACGATGTTAGCATTAAGTGTTTGACAAGTTGACTGCTTGTGTATGAGAGTGTTTCTTTGGGAGTGTTAGAATGGAGATCAGTTAGCATTAATTATAAACAGATTGTTTATGTGGAGTGGTATTGGCATCACGGATTCAAAATGGATTTGTGTGGCATGATTTTTCAGGCAGCTTTTCATTTTGGTTAGAATATTAGTGAAATAATGCAGAAAATGTTGCTCTTGGTACCATATATGCAAATACAATTATAGTAAAATAATGCAGAAAATGTTTGCAAATATTACAAATCACCAATATGACAAACCAATTCCAAAGCCAGTATGCAAACACAATTTGAGATGGCTCAGATACACCTAGATTTACATACTAGCTTAATTTGTGATCTTTAGAGTTATTTCCAAGATTGTACCAATGCTACCAAGAGTGTTAATGGAGGTTAGGAACCTTATGCAATAAAGTAGTTTTCTCCACAAATTCAGGAATACATTTGGCTTTTAGCATCATATAGAACAGAATCTGAAGGAACAACAACTCATGAGGGGCGAAAAATATACCGAATTACGAAAAATTATAATTACCAAACTATTCTACAGTTATAGCTTATTGCTTTCCATAACTTAATAGTATCATCTCTCCAACAGTACCCAACATTCAGAAGGAAAAATAGTACAAACAACCGAAAAGTAATACCCGATGAGTGATTAAAGATACAAAAATGGTATTCGACAATAGACCTCCATAGGAATCAAACTAATGATTAGCGAAGATAGTTGAAACTTCCAAGGAAATCTTACAAAGTTAAGCTCTCAGGATCCTCAATAATCTTTGCAAAAGTTTGCAGGAATGCTGCCAGATCAGCACCGTATACAATTCTGTGATCAGCAGTGACATTAACCTAAAAAAATGTAGATCCACCTTAGTTGTTTCTATATACAGAAATGTCATTCAAATAAATCGCAGATAAGCATTAACAGTTCAAGACGTAAGATATATCTGTGGTGCTTCAACCCTACTTCCTACCAATGAATTGATATTTTTTATGAGAACAATGCTCTTAATATCAGGTGGGTAAATAAAAAGACTGGATGGATCATGTATACATATAAAGGAATGATCATATCATATATGAAAATCATGATGTCAACCACCTACCACACCCAACCACCCCAAATTATACACATGGGGTAATTCGTTTATCACTAAGCAGAGCTCCTGCCTTTGCCACTGGCTATCAGTAATACATGGGGTCTGGGAGTAAATGATAATGAGAACTCAGCATTAAAACCAAAACTCATGCTAAATTAGTAGCTTAAGAGAGATGGTTCATCCACTTGGTAGACAAATATTTCGGTTCAATGTGTGAATTTGTGAATGATCTTATATGACTAAGCAAACAGACACAAAACATACTAGAGACGTGCTTCTATGCTCCTCGGAAAAAAATACTGCACGAAAATTAAAGCACATCAATGGTTCGGATTAAAAGATGATTACTAGGGTAAACCGTCATTAACGAGGGCCAATTTCGTCCAGGAAGTAAAATCCCACATCAGACCAGGCCAATCGCACCATCGATCTGGGAGGTTGACACGGCAACAGGGCTGGGTGGTGAAGATCGGCCGGGCATGTGCGAGGAATGGGAGGGCGACGAGCTGTGCGGGGCGTTGTTTGGTGCCCGCCGTCGGCGTTGAGACGGATTATATATAGGACGACGAGAGAGGACCAGTTCTCGATCGAAGGGCAACGCCGCAGTGGGGAGGCTGCAGGGGCGGCAGACCAGATGGAGCATGGCCGGTTCATGCCACGCGCATCCACTACGGCCGCCGTTCATGATCATGATTACGCAAACTCCCGGCCAAATAAAAGCTTCTTTTGATTCAGTGTTCTCCTGTTCTTTGTACTGGCGAAACCTTGATAGAAATCCCAACTGTTCTCCTGTTTTTTGATTCAATGTTTTTCGTCCTTGATAGAGGCGGCTGGGTATGGATATGGAATTTTACTTCCTGGACGAAATTGCCCCTCGCTAATGAGGTTTACCCTGTTAATCACTTTTTAATCCAGACCATTGATGCGCTTTAATTTGTGTGCAGCTTTTTTTATTGAGGAGCACAGAAGCACTTCCCAACATACTAATATAACAATCACTAATTTCCAGTATTGGCTGAAAAATTGCATGTGTGAAGGGCAACTAACCAGCATTTTGCTCTTGACACTAAAGAAACCATCTTTATCAGCCACCACTGTAGGTTTTGAGGCTCCGACAGCCATTATGCCTCCCTGTATTCATACACACTCAAATACTTAGGCCATATACCAGTAAAGGAACCACATCAATATTTAGCATCAAGCAGATTAGGAGAAAGAGAACCTCACCTGGCCAGGTGGAAGAATTGCATCAAATCTATCAACACCAAACATACCCAAGTTTGACAGTGTAAATGTCCCTGCAGACCACCAATTCTTCAGGTAAGTACAATTTTCACATGTTTTTCAACAACGATCTACAAGACTGAAACATCAGGTTCCATACCAGAGCTGTACTCATTTGGTTGGAGCTGTTTTGCACGAGCTTTCTTGACTAGTTCCTTCCATTTTTGTGAGAGCAAATATATATCCAACTGCATCATGCCATTGCTCAAGCTATTCAGTGAACTCATATGATTCAATTCCTAAATGAAACGACATTAAACACACAGATATCCTGTACCTTATCAGCATCCTCCAGAACAGGTGTAATGAGCCCACCATCGATTGCGACAGCCACCGCGATGTTGATGTTGGTGTTGTAAGTGAAGCTCTTCCCATCCCTGCAGCTAGCATTCACCACCGGGTGCTGCGCAAGTGCCATAGCTGCGGCCTTCGCCAGCAGAACTGTCATGGTCACCCCCTTTGACTTGACCTAACCAAACCAAATCAACCCCAACAATCAACAAAATGACCAAAATGTAATAAACCATCACAGGAGGTTAAGCACTGCCACCCCCAAAGTCTCCAAAGGTATAGCACCTTCTCATATAGCTCATCGAGCTTATCGGTCACAATTGGGTATCCCACACGGAATGCGGGCACCGCGAGGCTCTCCACCATGTTCTTGCTCACTGCAGCCTGCATGCCAGTGAATGGAACCACCGTGGCACCGGGCACCGGAGGAAGCTCCGCGGCCTGTGGCACGGCGCCAATTGCCGGAGCAGACAGCGGCACGGGAGCAGCAGAAGCAGCAGGCACAACCTTCGGCTTCGGCTCGATGCCGGCGGCAGCCTCAACATCGGCCGGCGTAATTCGCCCGAACGGCCCAGTGCCAGCCACCTTAGCTAGGTCCACCCTATGCTGCTTGGCCAGCTTCTTAGCTTGCGGGGTGGCAATGCCCTTCGTGCCGGCTGCCACCGGCGCCGGAGCCGCCGGAGCGGCCGCGGGTGGAGGAGGCGGCGGTGGCGGCGCGGCGGCATCGGAGGGTGGAGGCGCCTGCTGCGGGTGGGCCTTGGAGAGCTCCTGGGCCTTGGCGAGGGCGGCCTGGAGGTCGTCCTCGGACTCGGCGAGCAGCGCGATGGGGGCGCCGACGGGGGCGGACTCACCGGCGGGGACGAGGACGGCGGCGACGATGCCGTCGTGGAACGTCTCGACGTCCATGTCGGCCTTGTCGGACTCGACGACCACCACGGCGTCCCCCTTGGCGACGCGGTCCCCCTCGGCGGCCGACCACGACACGATCTTCCCTTCCGTCATGGTGGAGCTCAGCGCCGGCATGAAGATCTCCCGGATCTTGGCCCGCACCACCACCATCCTCGCCCGCCGCCTCGCCACCGGCGCCGCCGCGGCGCCCCGCCCCACGAGGAGGCGCGCCGGCACGGTGGAGGCCGCGGCCGAGAGCGAGACGGGCGCTGGAGTCGTCGCCATTGGAGAGGTGGAGGTGGAGGAGGAGGAGGTGGAGGCGGCGGAGGCGAGGTGGGGGAGGTCGGGTGTATAAGGAGAAGGTCGGCGAGGGCGGAGAAAGCGAGGCGGATGAGAGCTTTGGAAACTCCGACGAATGCTGAAATGGGCTGGGGAGGGCCGGGCCGAGCCTGACGTCAACCCCCTCACCTGGCCTCTATCAGGGCCGGGCTCAACTTTCTGTTTTGGATCGGGCTCGTTTTAGTATATTGGGCCGGCCCATTAACCCGCAGACGCAAGCCATCTGTCGCGACTTGGGAAAAGTCTATATCACCTCCCTCGTCTATTACTCCGCTCTCCATCTCTCCTCGCAGGCAGCAGGGAATAAGTTCACCAGAGGTCCCTCAACTTAACAGCGAGATTTTCTGAGGGCCCTAAACTACAAAACTAGAAATCTTCATCCCTAAACTCATATAAACCGTGCACTCAAGGTCCTATAGCAGTATGTATGGGTGGTTTCGACGTGGCATCCTAGTCAGCAAAAATAAATAAAAAAAGTAGGTGGGGCCCACATGTCAGTTTCGTTACCGCACGTAGCCGCGTGCTGATGTCGTCGCCGCCGCTCCCACCTCGAGCCGACGCCTCTGCTGCTCCCGCCGCCGCCCCTTTTCCCCGCCGTCGCAGCGGCGGCCGCCATTCCCAATGTTGCCACTCCTGCCACGTATCGCCACAGCCACCGCTGCTCCCGCCGCACGCCAACGCCGACACCGCCGCTCCTGCCGTCACCCATGTTCCCCGTCGTCGCCGAGGCCACCGCTGCTAACCACCACATGTTGCCACGTCCGCCGTTCCCCTCCCCCTGGGAGGCCTCCGCGGCCGCCACGACCGCCGCTGCTCCCACCGCATGCCGATGTCGTCGCCGCCGCTCCCACTTTTGCCCATTCTCCCCACTGATACAGAGGCAAAATGACCAGAAAAAGGGTAGGAGTACAGTACAGTACAGAGGCAACAACCACGTTGGATTAGAACTCCGACGCTCGCCCGCTGTCGCCGCCGCGCTCGATAGTTGACGCCGCCGTCCGCCTGCTCCGGCCGCACGTTGACATCGCCGCTCCGCCTGCTCCGGCCACGTGCCGCCCGCGCCCGGAGCCGGTGCTCACCCGCCGCCACGGCTGCGCTCGCCCGCTGACGCCGCCGCTCCGCCTTTTCCGGCTGCGCGCCGCCCGCGCCCGGAGCCGGTGCAGTTCCGGATGAGGAGAGGTGGGCGCCGGCCGCCGCTCCCGCCGTCGCGGCCTCACGGGCGGTCGCGCCGGCCACCTCTCTCCCCTTCTCTGGCGCCGGCCGCCTCTTCTCCCCTCTCCCGCTTCTTCCCAGCGCGCCGCAGTGCCCGCTCCGCCGTCGGCCGCCATCTGCCTGCCTGCGCGTGACGGCGTGAGAACTGAGAAGTTGAGAAGAGAAGAGAAAAAAGAGATGTGGGACCCACATCAATTTATCTCACTGACATGTGAGTCCCCACATATTTATTTTACTATTTTTGCTGACTAGGATGCCACGTCATCAAAACCAGTCATCTATACTGCCTCGGGATCCAAATTAGATGGTTTTGTATAGTTTAGGAGTGAAGATTTCTGGTTCTGTGGTAAGGGGACATCAAAAAATCTCGTTGTTAAGTTAAGGGACCTCCGGTGAACTTATTCCCAGGCAGCAGTGGAGGCGAGACAGACCAGACCGCTGAAGAACAGTCATATCTCACTGACAATCTGACATGTGGGTCAATTTACACTTGTTTTTAAAGGTCAAGAGGTGTAAGTGATTCGATCAAGAATAAGATAGAGGAGGCAAATTAGACTTACTCCGCGGAGGCGTCACGAATTTTTTGTCATTTTTAGATTTTTTTTTAATATTTACAGAAATAATCTATCGGTCAAAAAAATTGCAAAAATAGACCCTGCCGCCCCAGTGGTGGGCGGCAAGCTGATGTGGCAGACGGCGGGTCGACCGTGCCGTCTGCCGCTGTCGGCCAAAATTGCAATTACCGCCTTGCCGCCCATACAGAGAGCGGCAAGGGGCTAATTGCAATTTTTGCCGCCCATAATGATGCAGCAACGGGGGTTCCCGATCTTTCGATGAGAGGAGGATAAACTTCGATTTGGGGAAGGATACGACGTTGGCGGTCCGACTATAACTACCACAGGGGTGCTGCGCCTTAGCAACCGGTACACCGACTCCACGTTGTTGCTGTTCTTGCCGTGCCAAGAACAACCTTGAACCTGCAAGCAATCGAAGAACAAGCAAGAACAAGTTGACAAGGAAACAGCTCACGGCACTTGTCAAATGATGAAACTTAAACAAACCAAAATGGGGTTCTGAATACAAGTATCCGGGTGGTCTAGCCGACACACGCGAGTACAAGGAAGTAGCTGCAGCTAAACTTACATCAAAACAAAACCCAAAGTGCAAAATGGTGGCTGCTAGGAGTTTATATAGGTGGAGGAATGACCAGGAGAGGAGGTGGGAGCAAACCCTAGGTTTTGTGGACCCCTAATGGGCTGTAATGATACAAGGCCCAAGCCCAAGTTTCTGATGTAAAGAACTATTTTCGTCATTCTGAGCAGCCTGGGTCAAAGTTGATGGTGAGGCCATGCATAGCTGATAGTAGACGACGAGATCTTTCCAACAAGTACTCATTTGCCCCGTTTGACCTCCGGAGTGAAGAGCATTGACTTCATCAAATCAGCGCTGCTAGTGCTGCTTGCGATTTGGTTCCTCTCCCATATTCCTAACAACAAGTAGATCACAACAACCATTTAGTAGCACCTAATTCTGAGAAGAACTTGTATGATTAGCTAGGAATGACTTTACCTGATAATTAAGTTCACGAGCTCGAGCTCTAGTCATTGGTCCTTGCTGTGCAATAGGCGTGGTTGTATCGTTGGAAGGGATGTCCTCATCAGATAAAGAGGTTGCGCTCGTACTTTTTGCATCTGGGTCACTTGCCGCCCCAGTAGAGGGCGGCAAGTGACCCAGATGCAAAAAGTACGGCCAAACGATTTTTCTATGTTATGTTAATATTAAATAAAGAAGTATTTATTGGTAAAACTTGTTAATATTGTTATAAAAATGTATTGAAGTTGGTTGTTTCGCAATTTCATATGTTAAGTAAGGTAGTATTTTGTAAATTATTCGACGTATTAGTACTCGGATAATTAATATAGGCCTATCGCAGTCTCGGTCGTAGAAACATTATATGGACTTAAACAACGAGAATTATGTAACATGAAGAAATAGTAGTACAATTTGAACATGATACAACTATTTTCATTGCGGTTACATAGATGATATTAGATTCGAACTAGGAGGGAGGTAATGCAATAGTTGAACACAACGACGATGTAGTAATGGGACAAGGAAGCATGACAGTAGAAATTTCAATATGCCAAGTTGTCCGACAATAGCTAACCCCTACGTGAGGATCCCTCTCCTCTCTCAAAACGCGTTTTAGTAACTCTGTATTGCTCTGGTAGTTCAAGCTACACAACACGGCTAGGTGGAGTTAGAACCCTTATGGTGTCTATCCATTCTCTGTATTGACATCTCCTTGGTGGTTCCTGGGAGGAAAGAATAGATGTAAAGCGAACAAAGTTAGTAAATGTTGTGAGAAAATAAGGATTCATGTAATCAAAATATTCTTACCATGAAATCGCCATCAAGAATATTTGGACAAACGTTGTAGGCTTTATGGAACGAAGAACCTGACAATGATCACCACACCTGCATCTTGGACGGGTTTCCCATGGAGGGAGTGCCGTAGTTAGCACCCGCCAGTCGCTCTGTTGTTCACGACATTGTCATTCATAAGCCGCTTTTCTCTGTAAGTATTGCTCAGTACTTTCGGATACGAAATACCAGCGACCTTCTTGTAAACAAGTGGTTAGGTCGAGAACGGGATTTTCTGTATCGACCCACTTGATGTATGCGCAAGCCGTAGTGCGGGTCTGCCGAATAGAGTAGTGTTACGAAGAATAAAGCGATTGCCCATACGGAATGAATAAGCATATGCAGATAATAAAATACCTCACGATCATAGTTAGGGCACCTACAAAAGCGCCTTCCTCGAATATTAGGATTCCTCAAAGCCATTAGTTGGCATCGATCACCGCATAGGCAGAGAGGACGCTGGCACCAAGGTGGTAGTAGGTATACACAAGGATCGCTACGCCAGTTCGGATCCTCAACACCCCGGCGTCTAGCCATTGACGAAAGCCGGTAGGATTTGTAATGAAGCAAGTGGGAAGAGAGTACTGAATGTGACTGAGTTCTGAAAGATTGTGAGGCCTCACTCGTTAAGGCGACTTATATAGGTGCAAAAAATCGAGTGATATCCCTGACATGTGAACGTGGCGGGGCATGGTGGGTACGCCTGATTGGCGCCGAAAGTTACATGCCTGATCGGCGCCGAAAGTTACATTGGTCGTATGCGGCAAATGGCGGGCAAATACTCGTATCGCATGCGAATAAAGGAGGATGCATCGGTGCGACAGAAAGTAGTCGTGCATGCGCCGAAAGGTATCGTGCACATATAACAATAACATAGTCATTACACAAGCATACAGTACTAGAAAGTGAAGCAAATAAACAAAGAGAAGACTGCTCTACTGGCCCTGCCCCACGCCGCGACCACGCTTAGTCCTCCGGGCCTGTGCTCGCACGTGGTCCTGGGAGTAGGTGAAACGATCCGGTGGCATAGCACAGGTAGCACGAGTGTCTGGCGGCGGAGTGGCCTGCGCCTGGTCCTGCGTCTGCTTCGGCGGTGCGCCTCCCAGCTGTAAGGGGCCGATGACGTCCTCTGTTGAGCCTGAAGCGAAGTCGAAGTCAGTGATGTCGAAGAGCAAGGTGGAAGGCACCAAGCGGTCCGACGAGGTCCCAGCATGGTCCAGTGGTGGACCCTGACTCGACGTGCCGGCTGCCTGTGACGAAGTCCCGGTGTACTGCAGAACTGCGCTGAGTGCAAGGTCGATGCAGCTGCCTGAGACGCTGACCCTGCAGCCTGGGAGAAGTGGGCGGCCTGCATCATAGCGAACTGGGCGAAACCTACACATCGACAACGGGACCCTTGTAAGCTAAGACATAA